GGTCGGTTGCTTCCTCGGCCTAGAAGTGGAAAAATTAAACCAGGGGTATTTTGTTTCTCAACAAGCCTATGCAAGAAGCCTCCTGGAACGTTTTTGCATCGGGGAGTCAAGAGAGAAAGCCACTCCGATGGAACCCAATTTGAAATTGAAGAAAGAAGAAGGGAAGCTGTTAAAGGATCCAAGAAAGTTCAGACAACTTGTTGGAAGTTTAATTTACTTGACCATCACAAGGCCAGAGATTTCATACGCGGTAGGAGTCATTTCTCAATTTATGCAAGAACCGAGAACTCCCCACTTGGAAGCAGCCAAGAGGGTCCTGCGTTACGTGAAGGGAACCGTTGGATATGGGCTCTTATATAAAAAGTGTGACAGCTTTTTATTAAGTGGATTCACGGATGCAGATTGGGCTGGGGATATAAATGACAGACATTCAACATCAGGCTACTGTTTTAGCACTGGATCAGCTGTAGTTTCTTGGTGTAGCAAGAAGCAAGATATAGTGGCTTTGTCTAGCACTAAGGCCGAATATGCGGCAGCAACAATGGCAGCACAGGAGTGTGTTTGGATGAAGAGGTTAATCATGGATGTCCTACATGAAATTGATTATGCTATGCAAATAGGATGTGACAATGAAAGTGCAGTCAAACTTGCGTTGAATCCTGTTTTCCATGCAAGAACAAAACACATAGAGGTGCGCCATCATTTCATACGTGAGAAGGTCCTGAGTGAAGAAGTTAAGCTGATAGGTGTAGGCACCAATGCTCAAGTAGCAGACATATTCACCAAAGCATTAGTGAAGCCAAAGGTCCAAGGTCTTCGAAGTGCTCTCGGCGTTGTTGATCGGAGGTTTGCACTAAGGGGGAGTGTTAAAAATTAGCACAAACCTGAAAGCACGTGACATGCAAAGTTCGAGTCCTCTCCATTTACCCTCTTATTTGTTTTATTTGTTTGTTCTTTTTCTGGTTTATCAAGTCAAAAGATGTGAGACTTGTTCACGTTGGCTTGCGATTATCTAGGATTAGTTGTTGCTAAATAAGGGGAGCACTATCAGGATATCTAAGTAGTTAGAGAAAAATATGGGAATCTAGTTCGTGGCTCAGTGCTATATATGGACCATGCTGTAAATCGATTGAGATATACAGAAATTCATAAAATATTCCCATAAGATATCATCAGTTTCATTGTTCGTTATTCTCCGTCTCATTTGTTTTATCGCCGTCTGGTTCATAATAATCGTCAATACATTCATGAACCCTGCCTGATTCGAGACATTGTTAGGGTTCAACATTCGAAGTCTAGGCCTTGTATTGACGGTGGAGAAGAAGTTGCGGTCGGAATAGCGAACCAAGCACGGATCGCGCCAGTTTACGGCCTCCTTCAAAAATGGGCATACGGAACCTGCCTGTAGGGTTGAGTTAGCTACGCACTGGCGGCATATGTCTTGCTTGACGTCACCCACGCACATGAAGAGGCCGTATATGGTCCCGCCGCCGCGGCCAACGGTGGTGTTGTAGAAGTCGAGGTTGGCGGTTTTGTTGGAAGTTAAGGAAGAAAAGAGAGTTTTGAGGTTAGAGTCGAAGGTACTATTGGCAGTGAAATTACTGCGGGTGGAGCACTGAGGATAAAGATCATTACGACCAATGACTTGAGCAGAAGAAGAATTGAAGAGGAAGCCAATGAAGAAGAGTGACAAAATTATAATGTTGAAGGTCATGGCAATTAAGGGTGAAGGGTATGTTATTGATGGCGTTTGAGAAGAAGATAATGCTTTATAGTTTGAGTTTAATTTTATGATTAAGTGAATTTTGATGGCAAGTGGGCCGCCGGAGGAACAGGGGCATCGTAATGGCAGCGAAAGGGGGTCAGTTTATCCGATGATGATACAGACAAGGTTGACGCAACTCAAAGGCCAAGTCAAGCTTTGCTTTCTTATCAGGTTTCTTTCAATCATCTCGGAAGGAAAAATGAGTGTTCCAAAATTTTCTACAGTTTGTGTTTTTAACTTAAGATCTAGAAAGATTTTTTTAGATCATCTATAGCTATCAATTTCAGCCAAGCACACAGAAATTTTTAAATTAATACTCCCAAAGATCAATAAAATACAGCCAACATCTTCTTCTTCTTTTTTTTTAAACTAGCAACATCACTTGCTCGTGTCATTCTGCCGATCCAAATAAACCAAAAGATCAATAAAATACCGCCATTCAAAACTTTTATTTCAATAAAAACTCATAATAAACCAAAAGCGATTTTTTTCACCTAGTTATTTTTCCTTTAACTGTTTATACATTATATTATATCATAGAAAAATACAGGAAAAACATCCTATCATACCCAGTTTTTACCATCTCATTAATGATTTATTACAAATTGATATTGTCTTCGTACGTATTTAATTAATTGATATTATAAAGATGTAATTCATTCTATTCTCTATCTTTTAATGATACCCTTTTTTTGTTGATTTTCCAAACATAATACCCAATATTCATTCATAATATTGAAATAGTTACATTAATATGTGTTCATTTTCATCTGATAATTAGAAAAATTCTTATTTTCCCAACTATTTATCACACAACTTTCTTAATTAAAGCGTACATACACAGCAGTTGACCTCAAAAATCTTCTGAGAATGCTCCAAAGCCAATTCAGCTTGACCAGCAAATGAAATAATATAGCTAGTGCGGAATTATATAGTCCATCTTTAATTTTTTTTATTTTGGGAAACTAAAAGAAAATGTTGTTTTGAATATTAGTTAATGGCACATCCGAATTAGGTGTCATCCAAAAAGAAAGCTCCAAAGCCTATCCAACTTGATCCGATAGTCCATCCTCAAATTTTTTATTTTCAGAAATAAAATTAAAATGAAAATGTTGTTTTCAATGACATATAAATGAGCAATATTAATTAGCTAGTGGCACATCATAAGGTATCATCCTAAGAGAAAACTCCAAGACTTGTCATCTACACGACATTATTAATTATATTGAAGCACACATACATCGTACGCATTTGCCTAAAAGATATTTTGACAAGAAGGCTCCAAATAAAACCAATTCAGCTACACACGCAATTGAAATTAAATAATATAGCATAATATTATAGTCCATCCTCAGTTTTTCTTTTAAATTTTCAGAAATTAATTAAATGAAAGTGTGGTTTTTGATAACAAATAATGAGTAATGTTAGTTTATGGCGCATCCTAATGTGTCATCCAAGAAGAAGGCTCCAAAAGGTGTCATCCGGTACTAGTATGTTTTTTTTTTTTTGGGGGTCAAAATTCGGTACTAGTTTACACAGTGCACAGGTATCCTTGGCAACTAGTGCGTTGATTAAACAAACTATACATTAATTATAAACTTATTAAGAGTAACTTTCTTGATACTGTCTGCTGAATTATATATAAGCAATAATCTAATTAGAGATAATTAATATGCAAGACCTTATCGTTTCAACCGATTTTTAATCAAGTTCTTATAATTGTTTTTCTTTTATCAGGTCCTTTTATTTTCATATGTTTTTAATAAGGTCCTTATACCTTTTTTTTTTATTAGGTCCTTATTGTTTTACTTTATTTTTAATCAAACCTTTGTAGTTTTTATTCTTTATTCTATAAATAATAAATTATTATAACAATCTTATGTTAATATTCTTTTAAATTTTTAGTTAAACATATATATTATTTATTTTTCAATTCTAATTTTTATAATTATAAAATTCAAATTGTAATAATAAAATTTTCTAAAATTAGAATATAAGTATAAATAATTTATAGTTAAGTATAATTGATTATTCTGATTAATTATTAATTACAAAATGATTATATTAATTATTTTATCCAATTATATAATTATTAATTTAAAAATGAAATTAACTTTAAGGAACAAAGTTAATAAACAGTTTTTTAAAACTACAACAGACCTTATTAAAAAATAAGTGAAACTATAAGAACCTAATAAAAGGGAAAAAATGAAGGGGCCTAATTAAAAACACGTGAAAGTAAAAGAACATGATAAAAAGGAGAAACTTTATAGTGACCTAATTAAAAATAAGATGAAACTATAAAGACCCGGAGATTAATTATCCCATCTAATTAAAGATATTAATTCTTAGTCAAAGAACTAATCAGATACGGACGCGTTGGGTAAACGTTCCCCAAAAAAAAAAAACCAGTGACGCAATCATGATATGAAGATGGCGGCACATGACCCAGTAGTATTATCGACAAAAAGACGAAGAAACAAGTATGAAAATGGATTCTAATGGACTTGGTCAAACAAGCTAATAATTGTTGAATTATTTTTGTTGACGTTTTACCTTCATCCAAGGGCGAAAGGTCGTCAATCACAAGCGATTGTTATGATTGTGGCTCCACTGCATATATCTGTTGCTCCCTAGTGGTGCCGAAGATTAGAAGCCGTGTTTGAATGGATCTAATTATGAAGGTGTGGACCTAGCTAGGCTCCACAAAATGGGAAAAAGAACAGTAAAAAGATATATCTGAAAAATTTATAATATTATCTATAGTCCCGATCATGAGATGAGACCCATATTGATGTTCGAGGCCTTGCTAGTTTTGTTGATGCCAGCATTTGCAGAAGAAGAAGGGTTAAAAATGGTTGCAGAGACAACGTTATGAGCTTGGGATTGGGTTTAGAAGTAGATGATGCTCCTAATGATACATGGCGTAGCTTTAAGCCAATAAGTTAGAGTAGTCAGGTAGCTCGCCATTGATGGAAATTTGTAATATATATTTTCACACAAAACAATGAGCTTTTTCCTTGAGTCTAAACCAACGTTGGTTTTGCTCTTGTTGGGTGTTATATTCTCATTATTTTCTCCTGTTGATGACAACTTTTCCTGGTCGTCCCTATTATCATGTGACCCGCACTTCTCTTTCAGAATGTGCTTATAAACTAGTAGCAACATCTATTGTTGTCTTAAAAAAAAAAAAGATCACGTATATATTATGCACAATGAAATTAAACAGAAGTAATTAAAATATACACATCTAATAAAAACTCTTATTATGTTATTTAAATGTTACCCGCAATGGAGCTTGGTGTCCAAGATGAAGATGAAATAATATACAACAGGCTTGTATAGTTGGGAACTAGCGAGGAAAGAAATCACTCATAGACATTTCATTAATCGAGCTATATTCTCTACTTGCAGAAGTGATTACCCTTCGAGCACGCAAAAAGAAAGCAGGTTGCTGTGGATGTGGCAATTGAATTGAATCATTGCCCAGATATGAAACAATTGTAGCCATGGAAGGTCTTGAATCTGGATGCCTTTGAACACATAACAATCCAATTTGGATGCACCGGCTTACTTCATTATAACATTCCATTTCTTTTAGATTTGAATCCAACATCTCGAACAACTTTTCATTACTCCATTGATTCCACGTCTGCAACAATTAAGTAAAACTCACGATTTCAATAATTCATCAAATGAGGATGACTGCATAAGAAATATTAATGAAATAAACGTATCATCATAACTTACATAGCTCAAGAGGCTATCAGCATACTGCGATTCATCATGACAACTTGCATTCTTCTTTCCACTGATAATTTCTAAAACTATAACTCCAAAGCTAAAAACATCTGATTTTTCAGAATATAGCCCAAACATCGCATATTCTGGAGGCATGTAACCACTAAAAAAGAAAATAATATATCAATAATGAAATTTAATCCATTAGAAGATAAGATTAATTTTGACGCTTAAAGTGATGCATTGAAGGCAAACCTTCTGGTGTCACCTAAGAAAAACTTATTTTTCCTTATTCAACAATATCAAGATAAATGTAAATGTTGAAGAGAGAGAAGATACAACTTACTATGTTCCGACAATCCTCCGTGTATTTCCCTCATTTTCATTGATAGCAACCATCCTAGCTAGGCCAAAATCTGAAATTTTTGGATTCATTTCATTGTCCAACAAAATATTACTAGGTTTAAGATCACGATGTATAATTTTAAGACGAGAATATTCATGAAGATATAAAATTCCACGAGCAACTCCTCTTATGATTTCGTAACGTTCCTCCCAAGTCAGTCTTCTATTTTCCTGGGAACCTATGCGCGAACACACACACATATATATTTTTTGTGAGTGACGATGGAAGTGCCCATACAAATAAAGATAATCTTAAATTTCAATAAAAAAAATTATGAAAAAGTTTAGAAGAAGCAAACCAAATAGGAAGTAGTCAAGGCTTTTATTGGGAACATATTCATAAATGAGAATTTTCTCTTGATCTTCTACGCAAAATCCCAGTAAGGTCACCAAATTTCTGTGCTGCAGTCTGGCTATTAATAATACTTCATTTTTAAATTCTGCTGCACCTTGGCCTGAACCTTTTGAAAGTCTCTTTACAGCTATTTCTTGACCATTTGAAAGAATACCCTAAAATCATAGTTGATTATTAAAAATGAATTGCATTTGCGGGGTGCGCGCACGCACATGTATATTTAGAGAGGGGGACACACTCAAAATTAATATCGATATATGACATAGATCACCTTGTAAACCTGTCCAAATCCACCTTGGCCTAGACAATTTTCCTCTGAAAACCTATTTGTTGCAGCTTCAATAGTAGCCAAACTAAATTGCAGAGGCTCTAAAGTGTTGCTTTCTTCTCCAACTAGGCAAATAAAAAAAAAATCAGTGTATATTATTTAAAAGCATCACCCCAACACTTCCGATCAAGTCAACTGCATGAATATATTAGGAGATAGAATGAAAATTTACTTACAGTATTTTTGTCTGAGTTCAGCCCTGCGTCTCTTCCTTATTAAACTCCTTAAGAAATAGTACACCAAACAAAAAAGTAACCCCGCACAAGCAACAGAAGCAACAGCTATTACAATGTTCCTCGTTTTTCCTGTATAGATATAAGATACTTTCACGTCTGAGAAGACTTCAATCAAGCAAGTCAATTTTAGGCGTTGTACGAGTTGAGAATTGTATTAGCAGGTTTAATTTTTGAAAAATATTAAAAATACAAACAAACGATTAAGAAAAAGAAGCGTACATATAAGTTTAACTTTACCTATATGAGTTGCCGGAAAAGGTGCAGGAAGAGGCGGCGGTGCTGGCTTACCACTAGAATTATAAAAGATGAACAATTCATAACGAACGTTACAGCTGGGATATAGAACTCTTCCTCCTATCTTCCTGTCACTACAGTTGAAAAGGTCCCCAATCGCGTCTCTCAGACATGTTCTGCAACCTTGGGGAGAAAGGTCCGGCGTGCACTGAACCAGACAATACAAAGTTTGAAACTGTAAACTCGCTTCTTCTGTCGCAAAATTCTTCCCCATACCAGGTTTCGCCGCCTCGTCCGCAGCCTTGTTCATTGTTGCGTTCAATACATTAATGAATCCTGTTTGGTTGTTGGCGACGTTGTTGGTGTTGGCCCCGCACTGACTAGGACGCGTGTTGACGGAGGAAAAGAAGTAGCGGTCGGAATAGCGAACCATACACTCCTCGTACCATATCACGGCCTCCTTAGAGACGTTGCACAGGGAACGTATGTTGTTGGTTGCGTCAACGACGCACTGGTGGCACAACTGGAGGGTGACGTCACCCCGGCACATGAAGAGGCCGTATACGGTGTTGCGACCGCGGTGCACGGTGGTGTTGTAGAAATCGTTGTTGGCGGTTTTGTTGGAAGCTAAGGAAGAGAGCAGGTTGGTGAGGTCGGATTGGAAGGAACTATTGGCAGCGAAGGCGCCGCCAGAACAGCTGCTGTTAGTATAGACGGGTTGTGCTTGAGTAGTAGCAGAATGGAGAAAGCTAATAAAGAAAAAGAGTAACATAATTTTGTGGGAAGGCATGTTAATGACGAACATGATAACTGTGACGACGGTCGGGTGTATTATTCGAGGTGTTTAAGGTAAGGTAATAGCTATATGGTCGGTGTTCGGGGGGGTGTCTTTCACTGGCAAGCTGGGGAGCATCTCATCGATCGGAGGAATTGGTTAGAGGTCATGATTTAAACCAATAGAAAGAAAAATGCAAAAGAAGATCTTACTAAACTTGCTTAAACGATTCCTTTCACAAAATAAATGTATAATGACAAAATGGAAGGATATTTAATCCCAAGACCCTTAAAAATGTTATTGAGTTAATATAATCTTTATTCCCTCGAATTTACTCTATTTTGATTTTGGTCCCTCAAGTTTCAAATAATAGGTTTTCGTCCCTTAAAAGGACAAAATGACCTAGATTTTTATTGAATTGTAGAAACTAATATTTTAAATACAAAGAAATTTGAGAAACCAAAATCTATGGTTTGAAATTTGAAAAACTAAAACTAAAACTAGAACAAACTTGAGGGATAAAAGTTTATATTAACCTAATGTTATTTTTTTTGGAGGACTAAAAGCCCGTTTGGAATGTCTTATAAATAGTTTTTTAATCATAATTTACGAAATATAAAGTAAGTATATGAGAAAAAGTTTATTTTGACTTAGATAAAATATATTTATTTAAGTGACTTCAAACCAGCACTAACTAAGAATGCAAATAAAAAGAAGATGGACCTTGAAGTCAAACGTGAAGCTTGAAGCCTGAAGTCAGTACAGTGTATCCCTTTGGGCTCCCAGTCTCTCAATCAGATCAAATTTCCAAAGCGGAAGCTCACGAGAATTGCTGCGCACATCTGACGATTAAGCATGAAAGGGGGCAACGATGGGCGTTTGGATAATTTTCGTTTTGTTTTTAAGGGCTCTAGCATAAATAAGACTTTAACCGGGGAGTACACATTAAATGGATATCCATCTTGGTCTGTTGCAATAATTTTCCACATGATGGAGACAAGAACTTGTAATGAGGAAGACACGCTGAGAATGACTAAAAGGCCCATTGATATTAAATCAGGACGTTCTTCACTAATTTGACTAAAAACTAATTGAGAGAAATTAAGAAAGTTACTAAGTTATTTAATTATAACATTCTCTAAAATATTTATATATATCATTAGATTATGGATCATCAATTTATAAGTGAGGCAAATTAATTTGGATAAAAACAACAAATATAAATACTTTCAGTAATTTAATAATTTTCTTAATCTCTCCAAATTAGTCAGTTCAGTCTTATATTAGAGACCAGAGATAATATTATTTAATTATAAATTCACATAAAAAAATCTGACATATAACTGTGTGATTAGAAAATTTGACATAATAAATATAATAAATTTGATATAAGTATTTCTTTTTTCTGCGAAGAATAAAGCAGCAGACCTGAATTATCGCCCCAGATGGGGTCGTGAATCGTGAGGAGCGTGGAAATTACGAACAATTATAATGGATTCCAAATATTATGCTATTAGCTTATTGTCATCGAAAAAAATTGACGAAGATATATGTGAAGTCTTGTCCAAAAAAGTCATAAATGGCAGGCCCCATGAGAACGACAAGAAATTAAATAGAACCAGTGAGATGGTAGAAAACCAGTGTGAATATGTGTATTGGCTGTGGACCACCAAGATACAGTCTGGTTTAATGGAGATGAGAGGGAGTAAGATGAGGGATTTTACGGAACGATTCTGACTTTGCCAACTATATGTCTTATCAACACAACTTTATTAATTAAAGCGTACATAGACCGCAGTTGACTTCAAAATTCTTTTGGAGAAGAATGCTCTAAAAATTGAAATAATGTAACATGAAATTATAGTCCATCCTCAGTTTTTTTCAAAAAAAATTTTAAAAAAATTAAATGAAGGTGTTGTTTTCAATAACAGATAATGATATGTGCAGTCATAATATTGAGATTATTAGGCTGGTGCGTAGTACTAATGATGCAGTCATAATGTGATTGGCATAGCTAAAGCCAGAATGGTTCCCCTCTTCCTAATGTTGTAGGTTTCCAGGTTGGCCCCTAGCGTTTTTCAAAACGGGCTGATACTTGTGGTTCAATATGGGTGGGCTTTACGAGGAAGACATAAATCCTTGGGGACCCAAAAAACTTGCTTATACCTTTTTGAAGATCTAAGTCATTTTATTTTTCATTAGGAATCAGGATTACCATTTCCCATAACTACTTTTCTTTTCGCGGGGGAAAAGACACGGTTAAAAAAAAAGACATATGAAAATACTGTAATAATTATACATTAATTTTAGCATTTAAATAATAAAGTAAAATGTACAGCAAGAATATATATTCACATAAAGATAACATCTACGTAATTAATTAGTGCTTTTTTTATAAGTTCATATCCTTTTGCGATCCAAAACATGAAGATCGACCCAGAATATTCAGTCTTTTTGGCCAAAAAAGGGAGTAAGAAGGAAATTTGACGATGATTTCGAAGTATAAAGCTTCATATGTACTAACGAGGAAAAGATGAAGTTATAGACATTTCATTGACAGAAGATGGAATGGAATTGTTGGCAGAAGCAGAAGGATGACCCGAATTTGGGTCCATCCTACCATGAACATAAAATGCGGGTTTGCGAGGAAATGGTAATTCCACAGAAAGATTACTTAAATACGAAACAACTCTTGACATGGGAGGCCTATACCTCTGCTTTCTCTTGAACACACAATAATCCAATCTGGATGCACTTCATCACTTCTGCTTCACAACTACTTTCTTTCAACTTCGGATCCATTATTTCTAATGGCGTCTCACCTCCCCTCCACTGGTTCCAAGCCTGCAAAGTTTTCACAGTACACACATGTCAATACTCAATATTAATATTTGCCCTTTCTTCTTATAACTTTCGATGCATCAGGCGATCATATAATTATTGAGGCACGATGGCATCACACCTGCTTCAGCTTATTTATATCAACATTTATCTATTGAAATTTGACAAAAATGAATACGTACAATTCATCAAGTGATATGTTTCAGAGTTAAAAGTCATTGCAAGTAACGACTTACGTAAGCTAGCTGGGAGGCCATTAATGCTGGGTAATTCATAAGAACAAGAATTTTTCCGCCCACATACTCCAAAACTAAAGACATCTGATTTTTCTGAGTATCTTCCAAAATTCACATATTCAGGAGGTATATAGCCGCTGCCAAAAAAAAAAAATCCAAACAATATAAGCCAACGAGAAACAACACTTTACTTGTTGGAACAAATAGAAAAACAAAGTAATGAAGTGTGGTAAGGGATTCAGCATTCACTAACTCACTATGTCCCAACTATTCTTCTTGTTCTTTCTTGGTGTTGATCTATTGCCACCGTTTTTGCCATTCCAAAATCGGAAAGCTTTGGATTCATGTTTTCATCTCATAAGATATTGCTAGGTTTAAGATCACGATGTATAATTTTAAGACGTGAATGCTCATGAAGATAAAGAATTGCTCGAGCAACCCCTTCAATGATTTTAAAGCACCTGGACCAATTTGACAAGAGCTGATCTTGAGAATCTGTATAATCAACAATAACAATATAAAGGTGTTAGACTTCAACAGTAAATGTGCTGGTAAAAAATAAAGATAAGAAAACCTTCAGGGCAAACGTAAATGCCAAACCAAAGAGAAAGTAGTCGAGGCTTTTGTTGGGTGCAAATTTGTAGACGAGTATCTTCTCATGCTCTTGTAAGCAAAATCCCAACAATGTCACTAGATTTCTATGTTGAAGTTTAGCTGTTAGTAAAATCTCATTCTTAAATTCCGGGGTGCCTTGTTCGGAGCTCGTGGAGAGTCTCTTCACAGCAATTTTCTGTCCATTAGAAAGAGTACCCTGAGATCATGCATAAGTAAAAATTAGCATTTGCAACGATACTCAAATATGGACTAGTCATTAGGACTGGGTACTATAGGTAATTGTTAAAAAGATGTTAACATTTGCATTATGGACATAAAATAATTTCTCACCTCGTAAACTTCTCCAAATCCTCCTTGACCTATCCCGTTCTGAACTGAAAACCTGTTTGTTGCAGCTTCAATTGTAGCGAAATCGAATCGCAGTGACTCCAGAGTAGTACATTCAGTTCCAACTAAACGAATGTATATATGTACTTTTCAAATAAGCACATCCATTCTAGGCATAATACATACATACATACATACATACATATATATACACTTTTCTGGTTCTATTTATAAGTCACTTCTAACATATTATACACAGATAAAAAAAATAAAATTAAACTTCATTAATTTTTATTTAAAATTCAAGAACTTTCTTATTTTATCTCTATTTAATAAATAAAGTGTAAAATTGTACATCCATACAAAAAATTTCTCTTAGTATCCTATAAATAGGACTAAAAAAATGTCTTTTCTTCCTGTTTTATAGACAGGACCAGAGGAGCATATACATAGGAAGAGCATGGTTGGTTTGATTTTCTATTTTCTATTTCATAAAACGTACAGTTTTCTTTGAGAATGGCATATCTCCTCCTTGCCTTCCTTCGCAGCAAATAGATGACGAAATAGGACAGCAGGGCTGTAATAACGACTGGGATGACCACCGCGATAATGATCCGTGACCGGACTTTTCTGCCTCCTGCGCAATAAAATAATTGCACAGTTAATATAAAAGTTAGTTGATTAATTTAAATAGATTAAAAAAATTAGTTAAGTTAATTATTTATAATAAATACGTGTTTTTTTACCTAAAATATCCTTTTTAATTAAGTGTATTAGTTAGAATTATTATTATTACGAGGATTACCTAGAAAAAAAGTAGATAACCATCGAAGACAAAATGAATTGAGATTTGATATTTAAAATCAAATAAAAATTAAATGAGCTTTTATATTAAGGACCGGAAGTAGTAATAAAGAAATGTTATCTTTTCCCCCGTAAATTTTCCCTTAAGGTACAATGAAATAATTTCTTTTTTATTATCCAAAAAATAATTTATTAGGTCAAAATGGACAAAGTTGGCCCACTCAAAGAAGGCCTGTCATACGGTCATTTGAGCCAGACAGCCTTCATTCGTTGAACATGTGACAAAATTGTGAACTTGACCCATAAGGTTTTTTTTTTTTTTTGACCTTGATTAAGGTTTCATTAAAAACTAGTAGTAATATAAATCTCAAAATCGGCGGCGTATAGATAAATAATTAGCCATTT